TTACGATGTTTTCGTTCACATTACTTTTTGCAAAACTGGTATGGTATAACATGACTGCATGCCGAACATACGTGACAGGTCCTGACGTGAAATTTATGACATACTTGCCATGTAACACATGACTACACGCCACGATCACGTTGTGCTCTCGGTCGCTCCGCTAGCTTCAAATGTACCAAATGTGGTATTACGTGACGTGAATGGATGACGAAGGTATACGACTGTTGCAACCATGATAATAATGACATGCGTTACTGTAAGGGCATGACAGCATGCCACACTCAAGATGCGCTCGCAGCCGTTTCGCTAGCTTCACATATACTAAATTTAGTATTGCGTGACGTGAATAGACAGCGAAGGTATGTGACATGTAAAAAATGATAAGTATAACATGTGTGTCACTTAAGGACGTGACTACATGCCGGGCTGACGATGCGCTCACGGCCATTGCGCTTTCTTCAGTATATCAATTTTGGTATGATGTCACGTGAATTGACGACAAAGGTCAATGGCATATCCATCCATGATAATCATTCATGATATGCGTGTCACGCAAAACATGACTACATGCTACGCTAATAGCACGCTCGTGGACGTGTCGCTAGATTAACAGGTACAAAAAGTGATATACGTCACGTGAATAGATTATGAAGACAAATGGCACATTGAAACATTATAATCATGGCAAGCGTGTCATGCAAAAACATGACTACATGTCACGCTCATGTTGTGCTCTCGGCCGTATCGCTAGCTTCACATATACCAAAGTTGATACTAAGTGACGTGAGTGGACGATGAAGGTAAATGAAACGTCCAAAATGATAATCCTGACATGTGTGTAACGTAAATCATGACTACATGCTACGCTCATAGCGTGGTCGCGGCACTTTCGCTAGCTTCACAGGTACCAAATTCAGTACTACGTGAAGTGAATGGATGATGAACACAATAGCTAGGCGCAAAGATGAGAATCATGATATTAAAGTCATTTACGGCGCAATTTACGTGCACCTAGGAACGTTGTGTTGAATTAAAAGTGACATATTAACTTTCGTCATTCACACTTCGCATATCATTGATACCAACTCTACGTGGAATCTACCATTTTGTGTCGTAAAACTGGATGCAGTTGTGCTGGCATATAATCATTCAGTCAACCAGTTTCTATTATTACGAGGAAAGCATTGTTAAAGAATGTAAATTATTCTTACGGGGTGGTGACATGAACAAAGGGAGGAGACTTCAGGCCGAAGATGAAACTTATTATCTCGCTTGAACTTGTGGACAAGCGTAAGGAGAGTCAGATTAGAGCAAAACGCTGGTACTGATAGCGGCGAACGGAGTGTTAGCCGTCCGTCAACTAGCAAACAGCAAAGCGTGCTGGAATTTAGACCCTTGCCATCAAATTTTCTAGCTTTATTGTTAGCAGCGACGTAGGTTTCATAAATACGATGTTCACCAAGGGGGCTAAACAAAATGATATATAATAATTGTGAATCTTCTATAACAGTGAAGCACAGTTTGGCTAGATTGGGAGAGAAGTTCGTCTTGAAGAGGGTTCTTTTATACCACGAAAACGACTATATTTCTTGCTTGAATACCTTTGTAACATTGGCAGCCTTGCCCTTGAGGTATTCTGGAAAGCCCTTGATATAAGGGTCGGCACGCTGTCACTTAGCAAATCTTCGACGTTTATGGCTCCCAGAAAGCAGTCGCAGTTCTCGTCGTCCTGCAGCGGTGGGCCGATGGGGAAGCGTCACAGACAGTCGGCGTCAGAAAGCCTTCGCCCTGACTTGTAGACGACGGTGGTGTTGAATTTCTGAAGTCACAGATCCCATCATGCGAGGTGATCTGAAGGGCCCTTCAAGTTAGCTAGCCAACAGAAAGCAGTGGTAGTCACTCAAAACTTTGTACGTTCTGCCACAGAGTCTGCAGTCAAAACTTGGAGGTAGCCAAGATGATGGCGAAACCCCTCCTGTTCTGTTGTGAAATAGTTGACTTCCACGTTAGATAGTGACCAGCTCACATAATCGAGAATTCTTTCAAGCCCATGAATCTTGTGCACCATAAAAGGTCCTAGCCCTACATAGCTTGCGTCAGTAAGGATTTTCGTGTCGGCGTCTTCATGAAAATGCGAAAGTACCGACGGTGTCTGCATGTGTCGTTTTAGATCTTGAAATGCTCTTCCGGTGGCATTGCTTACTTGAAGAAGAGCTGGTAGCAAGTTATGCACAAGTGGTAGCGACATTGCTCGTTGTTTAAACTTTTTTTCGCAGCGTACTGTTATCCTTGTGTATCTGGCGCTCATATACACGACTGGGCTTTATTGAGAACAGGTTGAATATACTAAGTAAACACGGCAGGCTAGTTATTGAACCGGTAAGAAATATTTCAATCGCAGCTGCGGTGTCTTAAGCTACGCCGTTTGGGAAGGAATAGTTTCCGTGTGCACAAACTATCCCGATATTTTCTAACTGCAGCAATGTCCCCAATATCTATTAGAGTGCTCGCTCAGAACTTGGTGGTGTGTATCAAGCTAACTCTCCTCTGCCTGCTCAATGGCTTGTGCACGAAGTGCATGGTTCTGAGATTTTTATCCTTTGCGTCGCAGTTGGCAACCATTTTCTTGATGTTTTGCATGTCTTCATCGGTGTTGCAGATAATGTAGGCGATAAAGGTCGATCAGGCACACAGAAACTATTTCGAATCGCTGGATCGTCATGGTGGTGCTGTGATGCAAAGGTCGAAAAACACAATCAGCGTCATCAGTGTCGAAATTACCGATCATTCATTTCTAGCGATGTATTATTTGGACTCAATGCGCAGTATCATCTCAAAGTAATGAAAAAGTTCAACACATTGTCATATGTATGGCAACAAAGCGTTTTTTTTTTGCAAGTGCCAGTGGTTCATTTCACAAGGAGCACACCTGACGTGTGCACTGTTGCAGACACGGGCTGCGCTTGAGCAAAGCTGCGATAAGCTTGAAATTCGAAATATTACTCACTTTTGAGAGAAAAGCTATACAACGTCCTGCACTTCGCATGTGGCGAACAAGCAACACAGTGGCACTTTGGCGCATTCAAAATGTCGCCAAGTGGCAAAAACCGCTTCTTCGCCGCATCCACCTGAAGAGACAAGAAGCTCCGACAAGGAGAGAAAGAACCGACGCAGATCAAAAGACGGCTGTACTTTTCAGAAGATATCGGGGCTTTAGTGGCACATACCAATCTTTTGTAAACTGGCCTGTGCCTCACGTGTTTAGTGGTAAGGGGTTGACGACGTACGCGACGAGATTGTCACTTGATAAGACAGATGCTTGGGCAAGTACTTGGGCTAGTAGCGCTCTTTCTGTCCTTGTCCCTTCTTCTATATTTACGTCGTAACTACTCGTAGTCTTGCGTTGTGCAAATATGTCGATTGTCACCTTATTTATGTCAAGACCAGTTTGCCATGTTCGTGAAACAATGTTACCTTCTCATGCCAGTTTTGTTTACCCTAAGATAAGGCGGGAATGACGGGAACACCAACTTACACAGGCACCTAGATAGATAGATAGATAGATAGATAGATAGATAGATAGATAGATAGATAGATAGATAGATAGATAGATAGATAGATAGATAGATAGATAGATAGATAGATAGATAGATAGATAGATAGATAGATAGATAGATAGATAGATAGATAGATAGATAGATAGAAATGGCTTCAACTTTAAAATCAGGTTCCCGTAGAAATGAAACCTGAGAATTCTGCGTGGCAACCAAGTATTTCACTTCTGAGCCCTACTACAGCTTGAAAAACATTGTATATTGATCCGTATGAAAGTGGAACGCGGGTAAAATGCAGAGGGTGGCTGCAATACTGGCTAATCAGTTTTATAAATATTACATATTTACTCCCATTATACCGTTGCCACTTCGTCTTCACGCCAATAGCAGTTAAAGGAGCCCTGAATTATATTTCAAGTAAGCCATAGAATGAATTCACTATAAGAGCCTATTACGTCACAAATTCAGTGCCAAAAACGTTTTAAGAATTTATCCAGTACCAGCGGAGTTACAAGATTGGTCGCACGCTTAGCAGCATTGTCTCTTTTCTCCTCCAAATGAAAGTGCTAGAAGCTAAATAAGAAGGAGGAGGGGAAAAATGTTATGAGAAAATAAAAAATACGTCACACGCACCTTGTGATCGTCAGCACTTTATTCTCTGTTTCATCGAGTACGTAATTTTAAGTGTGATCGCGTCTACAGGCGTGGACAAGTTGCGGCCTCCCACGGCGATCTCTGTGACGATCGAGCACGCCATGCTCAAATCGGCCAATGGCTCTAGAAGGCCTGCTTAGAGTGATTTTTCAGCTTCTTCCATCATTTGTCGATATAAGAAAAAAAAACAATTCTTAGCTAACTTGGCTAAATTCTTGTAACTTGCAGGCTCCGTGCGGTGCTATTATTTGTGGCTCACGTGTACTCGGGAGCCTCGACTACCGATCGGCAGCGTTTCCTCAATATTTTCAGAAACTGCTGCAGGGTCCATATAAGCGTCATTCACTTATGTTGATCAAAGTAGCAGTATCCAGGGCCAGCATTGTTACGACCATGATTGCTATATTTATTTATTTCCAAACACTGTTGGCTGTTATGGCGCTAACAGTGTGGGTACAGTAAATAATACCATAAAAACATACCTGCTTACCGCGCGTGGTGTTCTAATAACCCCTTGCTGTTGGCTTTGTTACGCAACGGCAACAAGCAGGTATGTCAAATACGTGTTACTGTTCAACATGTTTGAGCGTACAGCATTCACATATACTTTTGCGTCATTTATCAACGTTCTTTTTATTGAAATAATTACAACAGAACTGTTTTCCCTGTGCAAACGCATGTTTTGCATGACATCGACTACCAACGTACGTAGGATATGCCCGAATTTATGGCGTTCCAGGTTGGCAGTACAACTTTCACTTTAAATGTTAATCTGTATCACTTTGTTTCCAGGTCGGAATTGTGGGTCGCACAGGTGCGGGAAAGTCATCCCTAGTCCTAGCCCTGCTACGGGTGCTCAAGAGCACGAATGGCAAGATATTGATAGATGACGTCGACATAGCCTCTGTGCCACTGCCAAAGTTGCGTACTGCAATCACCGTCATTCCCCAAGTAAGAGCCACGTTATTTAATAAACTCAATCATAAAGAGATCTTGCTGCTATGAAAAAGCATTGCCTACTTGTTTTCGCCAAGTGGACGTAGCTGAAAGTGACAATGATCGTGACCACGGCTGTCTGGTGTGCTCCACTTGTTTTCGCTATATTGCGTCTGAAAAAGCCACATAGTTCTCATTAGAAATGGATCTACCGACCACAAATAACATAAAAATTCCCGAAAAGTAAAAATAAGGTTTTTCCGAAAAGTTTCACAATTTTTGTTGTGAATCTTTAGTGCAGCCTTTTGCTTAAAACTGGATATTGCTGAAGATCACCGGACAGTTGAATCAATGGCTTCATGCGTTTGAGAGTTTAATTGCTTGAGTTGTGGAATGTTGAGTTTTGCAGTGAAACAACACAGCATGCGACGTAAAACTCTAAATTTGCGAGAATGTTGCAATGAATATGCAATAAATAAAATCGCAAGTAAAATTTCACACCTAGCACGCCTATTCAGGTGTGACCAACAAAAGCAACCGCAAACAAACCAAAAAAGCGATGTAGTTTGCAGCGTATCAACTTTCGTTATGTGATTATCACATGCCCTGCCGTGTTGGTCTAGTGGCTGAAGTACTAGGCTGCTGACCCGCAGGTCGCGGTATCAAATCCAGGCTGCGGCGGCTGCACCTTTGATGGAGACGAAAATGTCCCATGTGCTCAGATTTGAGTGCACGTTTAAGAGCCCCAGTTTGTCAAAATTTTTGGAGCCCTTCAATACGACGTCTCTCATAATCATATGGTGCTTTTGGGACGTTAAACCCCACATATCAGTCATTATCACACAAAATGAAAGCAAATAAGGAGGACGAAACAAACAGCCCTTGGTATTGAGGTGTTGTATGCGAAGGTATGGTACGGAAGAATGGGTTCCCACGTTTTGTGTTCGACGTCGATGTGCATGGCCAGCATGTCAGCAATTGTCTTGTTTAGCCGCTCATTGGTCGGTGCATGGTAGGCGATGGTGTGGCGATGATTTGTCTGGCTGTACCTCAAGATCGCCTGTATTAGGTCCACCATAAAGGCCATACCTCTGTCTGTGAAGAGGACCTCTGGCGCACCGTGATGTAGAACTGCTCCTAGGCAAAACCCCTGTCTTGGCATAACGTTTAAGGTAGTCGGTAGCGACGATACTCTATTTGTTTCCTGCAGTCGAGGTTGTAAATGTCCCTAGTAGGTCTATGCCAACTTGCGGGAATGGTCAGCGTGGCGGCTCGATGGGATGTAAAGGCCCAGTTGGTATAGTCAGCGGTGTGTTCTGTCGCTGGCAATCTCGGCAAGTCTTCACGTAACGAGCAACGTCGGCAGCAACGCGAGGCCAGTAACGCTTTTCCAGTGTTCTGGCGAGCGTGCGGAAAATCCCCAAGTGTCCGGCCGTGCATCGTCGTGCAGGACAGGAAAACTTCTTGTCGCAATGCGAAAGTGCGAAAGGCACAACAAGACGTTGCTTGGCTCGACATGACGAGAAGTTTTTTCTTTTGGAAAACACTGTTGCCTACGAAACATGACGTCACTGTTCGCTTGAATACCTTCAGAACAACGCCAGCACTGCCTCGAGGTATTCCCTAAGGCACCTGAGTTGCGCATCGGCTTGTTATCGCTCAGTGAAGTCGTCGCCACTTGCGGTTCTTAGGAAGCAGTCATCATCCCGGTCATCCTGCGGTAGTGCGTCGACGGGAGCACAAGTCAGGCAGTCGGCATCGGAGTGCTTTCTTCCGGGCTTGTAAATGACGGAAATGTCCAATTCTCGCTGTCTCAGGCCCCATCTTGCAAGACAACCTGAAAAGGGTCTTTCATGTTGGCCAGCCAACACAAGGCATAGTGATCGTTTAAAACTTTGAAGGGACTGCCATAAAGGTAGGGGCGAAACTTTGAGGTAGTCCAAATGATGGCAAAACACTCCTTTTCTTTTGTACATTAGTTGGCCTCCGCCTTTGATAGCGACTGACTTGCATGACTGATTACCCTTTCCTGTCCGTCAGTCCTCTGTACAAGATTGGCGCCGAGTCCTACAGTGCTTGCATCGGTATGTATTTCTGTTTCGGCAAGTTAGTCAAAATGCGCAACAAACCAAGGCGTCTGTGGGCATTGTTTAGTTCTTTATATGCTTCCTCCTGTGGCGTTTTCCACTTGAATTCAACGTTGGACCTAGCAAGGCTGTGAGTGGCTCGGCGATCCGTGCGAAGTTTTGGAGAACCGCCTGTACTAAGTGCAGAGGCCGAGATATCGACTGGTGGCTTTCTTGTCGGCGGATGGAGGAAATTCATTATTGGCGCTTGTTTGCAGCGGGTCGCAGCGTACATAGACTTGCTTATCACGTGGCCTAAGAATATATATTTCTCGAACTCGAAGCGGCACTTTTCCTGCTAGAAGGTGAGTTCGGAGGTCTTGATTGCTTGAAACAGCTTCAAGGCACCAGAGATGCTCGTCGAAGCTTTACGAAAACACAACGACATCGTTCAAGTACACGAGGCAACTCGGTCACTTCAGTCCAGCCATTATGGTATTCATAACGTGTTGGAAAGTTCTGGGGGCCGAGCAATGACCAAACGCCATCACCTTGAATTCGAAGAGGCCGTTTGTGTTAAAAAAAACCGTCTTCTCTCGGTCTCCCTCTTGTCAGCTTCGATTTGCCAATAGCTGGTCTTGAGGTTCATTGACGAAAAATACCTCGCGTTGTGGAGTCGATCAAAAGTGTCGTCTGTCCGTGGGAGAGGATACACATCCTTCTTTGTGATTTTGTTGAGGAGACGATATTCGACGCAGAAGCGCAGTGTGCCGTCCTCCTTTGTCACTAGCACCACAGGTGACGCCCACGTACTCTTGAAAGGCTGTGTGATTTCGTTGCATAGCGTTTCATTGACCTGTTTTCTTATTGCCTCCCGCTCTGGCGTTGGAACTCTTTACGGGCTCTGACGGAGTGGCCTGGTACTTTCCTCCGCTAGCATGCGATGTTCAGCTACTGGTGTATGCCGAACTTTCAACGATGATGCAAAGCAACCCTTGTATTGCCAGAGCAGGCTTTTCAGCCGTTCTGGCTTATGCATCGCAAGAGTCGGATTGCCGTCTAAATTCCCATGGATGCCTTCGTTCGTCGGAACAAGTTCAGTAGACTCGGTAAGGGCAATAACGCTGCTGGCTTCGACGATTTATTAAAGATAGGCAACTGTCGTGCCTTTGCTCACACGTTCATAGTCGTTGCTGAAGTTCGTGAGCATCACTGTTGTTTTCCCACCTCTCAGCTCAGCTATTTCTCTTGCGACGGAAATCTCGCATTTGATCAAAAGCTGGTCACTTTCAACGACACCTTGCATGCATGCTTTCTGAGAGCGGACGCAAATGTTGATGCTTAATAGAACGTAATTGGTGATCTGATATTCTAGTACATTCAAGACCTGCTTCCCGGGTGGCGTGTGTGGTGAGAGGGCTTATTCTGTTGATATCGTTATCGACTTGGATCTCAGATCGATGACTGCACCAAGATTGCCTAAGATGTCCATACCGAGGATCACATCTCTCGTGCACCGGTGTAATACAACGAAGCTTGCGGGGTAAATGCGGTTGTTAACACAAACTCTCGCAGTGCAGATTCCCTCCGGCGTTACTAGGTGGCCTCCAGCTGTTCCTGATTTAGGGCCTTGCCAGGCCTGCTTGACTTTCTTTAACTTCGTAGCAAACGATCCACTGATGACCGAATAGATGGCTCCTGTCTCGACGAGAGGTATCACACCGTGGCCGTCGATACGAACACCGAGATAACTAGTTTATCGTTTCGCGTTGCTGCTAGGTCGTGGTGCCGGGCCACGACTGCATCGGCTGTTCCGCTGCTTCATGTTGCTTGGTTAGGTTGTCATCAGTACATGGAGTTTCGTCGTCAGGGCTTTGTAAGGTTCACGTGGTGTTCGGAGAATACCAGCATGGCGTCGTGGTTGCAGCATCTTCGGTAGTTCATCGCCCAGCAGCCGCAACGGCAAGTTTCCCGGATAAGGGCTAGAAAACAGGCCCCGGGTCGGGTCAATGTACTGCCGGCTGTGAAGCGACAAGTCGCGGCCGGGTTACGACGAACTGGAAGTTCCTCGGGCTGACCACTGCACTGCTGCGAGGTAGTCGGCGATGTCGCGGGGTCTTTCCGCCCGCTGTGGAGGTGGTGCATCGGCAGCGAAACCGCGCAGTCCCATCTGTCGGTACTGGCAGTAATTGTAGGTGTGGCCTGCTTCTCCGCAGTGGTAGCAGAAGGGTTGGTGGTCGGGGGCACGTCAGACGTTGGTTTTCCTGGGGGCGTTGCGCTGGCTGGTGGTTGGACGGTATGGTGTCGACGGCAGCAGTAGCTGGCGGCAGATCTGTGAGGGTGCGGGCGCTTGACGTTGGCGTGAAGGGGGAGCGTAGCGTCGGGTTGCAGCAGCGTATCTCATCGCTTACGGCTGAGGCTGCGAAGCTTCGAAAACTTCAAGCGATTGCTGAACTTCTTTGCGGACAGTGTCGGCGATCCAATCCATTTGGTGGTGAGACGAAGGCAACAGGCTCCGTGGCTCCTCCCGCACGATCTGTCGGATTGTCTCACGCAGGTCGTCTGCACTGAGGGCATAGGCTTCGGCGTAGTTGGCTGTTGAAGAGCGACGGTCATACTGCCTTATGCACATCTCAAGTGCCTTCTCTATTGTCATTGACTTGTTGAGGTATTCGTCAACAGTCGTGGATGGGTTGCGAAAAAGTCCCGCAAACGACTCTTGCTTAACACCACGCATGAAGAAACGGAGCTCCTTGTCCTCATCCATGGCGTGATCGGCGGGCTGAAACAGTTCCTTCATCTCTTCCTTGAAGATGGTGACAGTTTTGTTTGGAAGCTGTTCCCGGGTCTCCAGCAAAGCAGCAGCCCTCTCTTTGCAAGTGACGCTCGTTAGAGTTTCCAAGAATGCGCGGAGAAAAAGCTCCCAGGAGCGAAGTGCATACTCTCGATTCTCGAACCAGGACCTGGCCTCGTCTTCCAGGTAGAAGTAGACGTGGTGCAGTTTTTTTTTCCATGTCTCACTGGTTCAAGGCTGCTACTCGGTCGTACGTCTCGAGCCAACTCTCCGGTTCTTCAAATGGTGATCCATGGAAAATGGGTGGCTGCTTTGGCTGCTGCATTACGACCATGGCAGGCGTTGGTACAGGGGCTGTCATAAATGATGCAGAAGTGGCGCTGGCGCGACTGTTGTCGGATAGAGCCCCGTATTCTAGAGGTAGCCCTTGTTGCCAGCAGCTTGCTCGTAGGTCGACGTTGGTAGGGCTGTTTAGCTCACAATTGGTGCTTGGCTCCCGACTGAAGGGAGGCGTTCGGTGCATGGACGATGAGCACCTCCACCAGATGTCTCGGGGTCGTGACGTGGACGAAGGAAGCAGAATGCAGGTTGATTAAAAAAAACTGTTTATTTGGACTGAACTTGTGGTCACGTAAAATAAAAGGTAGATTGCAGCGAGGCACTGGCACTGGTTGTGACGAGCAAAGAATCGGCCGTCGATCAAGTGACAAGTGGTGAAGCGTGTCGGCATTTATGCTCTTTCCACCAAATAATCTAGCGTTATTGCTAGTGGTGACGTAGGTTCTCAATTAATCTGTATCTTTCCCGAAGTAAGTGTAAACTTAACAAAGCAATCCATCATAGCCTCGAAGCCTCTCGAACTTCTTAGGGGCGGTTGGCATGGAACTTAGTGCAACGTGGTGATAACCAATCATGAGAGAAACCTGACAATATTAGTGATGAAATCTCGATAAGTTTATTGGCGAGGGGGCTCTTTACGTGGTCATATATGAGGAGATCCTTTCGGCTGAAACTTTGGGCGAGCACATTGACGGCGATGTTGAGTTTGCTTTTGTGAGTCGTATCCCTTCAATGGCCCAGTTCGTCGTGCCAGCCAAGAATATTTCTAAGAACCTGACTTTCTCGATACTGGAGAGACCAGGCTGCATGTGGATGGCTGCCTCGTAGTGCTTAATGAGTTCCAGTCACTGTCAAAGGGCGCTGAAGACGGGCACTCAACCTTTCGCAAAACCACTCACAAGCCTAGTACACGGCGCCTGTTGTGAGCAGTGAGGTTTTGGGCTTTGATGACTGATTGTGCTGCTGCCAATCTGCCACTGTTGCCAATATGTAACTCGTACCGACACACCTCCTCTGGTCAGCTTCAACGATGGTTGCCCCGCCACGTTGGTCTAGTGGCTAAGGTACTCGGCTGCTGACCCGCAGGGCGCGGGTTCGAATCCCGGCTGCGGCGGCTACATTTCCGATGGAGGCGGAAATGTTGTAGGCCCGTGTGCTCAGATTTGGGTGCACGTTAAAGAACCCCAGGTGGTCTAAATTTCCGGAGCCCTCTACTACGGCGTCTCTCATAATCATATAGTGGTTTTGGGACGTTAAACCCCACATATCAATCAATCAATCAGCTTCAACGATGGTAGAGGCAAGCAGCCTCGCCGTGGTAACCTTGTGACTAAGGTTCATGGCTGCTGACCCGCAGGCCGCGGGATTACATCCCGGCTACGGCCGCCTCATTTTTGATCTAGGCGAAAATGCTGTAGGCCCGTGACCTCACATCTGAGTGCACGTCAAAGAACTTCAGGCGATCCAAATTTCGGGAGCACTTCACCACTTCGCCTCTCATATGGTGGTTTTGGGACGATAAACCCCACATATCAATATATCAGTACCAAGCAGTATACACGCCTTCATCAAAGATCGAAACTGGCTGATGGCATTCACAATCTACTTGGTTAGGTCGTCATCAGTACATGGAGTTTTGTCGTCAGGGCTTTGTTATGTTCGCGTGGTGTTCGGAGAATACTATCACGACGTCGTGGTTGCAGCATCTTCGGTAGTTCGTCGCCCAGCAACCGCAACCGCAAGTTTTCCGGATAAGGGCCAGAAAACAGGCCCCGGGTTGGGTCAGTGTACTGCCGGCTGTGAATCTACTTGAGGTAGTTTAGAGCGTCATAATTTCCCCGTCAGACTTCTCAACGCCAAGAGCATCGGCGATGTGTTTGTGCAGCTCCGGAAAACAGAGATACATAACTATATTAGGCCCTGTGAAATGTCACTCCTTGACAGCAACGTCGTGGGCCATGTTCACGGGGGGACAAGGAGGCCTATCCTCTCTGCCGACTCTTGACCTTCCCGGGCAGCTTTTAGGTTCGCAAGTAACTTGAAAGTTCAAAGACAGATTACAAATTCTGTTCGGTCAGTGAACTTGCGCACCGTAAAAAAGGGCGCCGCCACTTTATATGTTCATGGTTACTAACTTCACCACAATGCGGGCAAGTAGACTCAAAAATCTTCTCCTGAGAGAATGCAAAGAAGAGATAGACTTGAGTAAAACCTGGTCTGTAGCATTGTGGAAAAGATGACCTGAGATCGAGGCAATAAACTTGCTGTGCGGAGGGGGAAATGACGGCCAATTACAATGGCAGAGTTTAGTCAGTTTGTTGAATGTGAAATAAGCGTCTCTAAACAGCGCACTGCCAACCTGCAGACCTACGTCTTTCCCTGCTCAGAGGGTTTGTGTGTGCGTCCGGGAGTGAGCAGTGTCGTTGAGGACCACGAGAGAGCTCAGTCGAAATTCCAGATGTGTAGAAAATCAGGTATTGATATCAAAAAGGAGCGCTATTGTCGAGTGAACAAGAGGCGAAAGCCCTGGCCACCGATCTGGAGTCGGTGCAGATGAGCGACCTGCATCTCTCTAAAAAGCCAACGGATACAGAAAACCATTTGGATTTTGAGAGAGTACAGTCCTAAGCGATGCATGAGTAATATTAGAACCCTTGTGGTTGACGGAGATAACGAAAATTATAGCGGGGCAACCATTCTGAGTGGCATGGACGAAAGATGATGAATGAAGATTGTTCCTTATTCTCTCAGGAGGCATGATGGTCCTAGCCTTGCAGGTCCCTACTTTATGCTGTGGATGAACGTTTCGTAAGAATGGAGATACCTGGATGACAGTATGGTGTTCATCAGCAGTTAAAGACGGCGCTGCTGAGTGTCTGTCACGGATCTGGTCGATGCGTTTCTCCTTAAGCCGGTAAAGCGTCTTGCAGGAGGATCGCGCTGACATCAGACAGAAGTCACATTGTAGCACCACGAAGGGTGCCTTGATGCCTATGTAGCTTTTTCATCTTAGGAAGCTAGCTGTGTGAAGGGTCTCGGCCTTCTCGGGATTTCGGCACTATAAATCCTGAGGCGAAGAAGGATCCAAGACCCGGATTGCTCAGGATGTGCAGTTTTTTTTATTGTGTGCTCAAGAGCAGCTGTGCCATAAACTCACTTTTTCGCGGGCCTTGTGCGCAGCGTGGCATTTGCGGCCGACGTATTATTATGGAGGATTCAAGAAATAGCACTCTAAAATCACCAAGCAGATATAGCGGATAGCTAACTCTGATGATGCGTGCTGTGACTATTTCTTACTTATGAACAGCAGAGCTCAAAGCTCCAGGTATTATCTTCCTGTGAACTTTCGCAGGATCCGAATCTCGTGCGCGGAACACTTCGTGCAAACCTTGATCCCACGAAGAGGCACACGGACGAGGAGTTGTGGGAGGTTTTGCGACAGGCCAAGCTTGCTGAATTCGTGTCCAAGCAACCACTCCAGCTATTGCTCGAGACTGGAGACGGTGGCAGCAATCTGAGGTACACATGAAAAAATAACGCTCTCCACAATATCCTTTCGCAGAATGAAAACAAAAATAAGAAATAATGTATACCTGGATATCTCATTCGATTGCGGTACTTTAAAATACATTTTACACATACCAGCACATTCGCAAACACTGATGGTCTACGTACTTATGCGCTGGAAAACTTCATATTGCACTAATAACAAACACGGAGCGAAAATAACAGATTTTACAAGATTTCGAACTTTGTCTAGCTGGTCATCCGCCTATACTTTAGTTTTATTTTATTTCATAAGCAAGCCAGTATCTTCGAAATTGGTTTCCTACGTAAATGCGGTTTGTATCTATATGCAATGTCGTACCTTGTGTAGTTATTTTTATTCAACCGAAAAATCATGAATACAATTAAAAACACCCTTCAGCAGGAACGAATACTTTCATCTCCAAAGGATATATTACCTTCAAAGCACATGAGAAATTATATTGACGTCCACAATCTCGACCCTACTACGATCAAAGGTTGACCTATTGTTGCAGGTGCTCATTTTCTATTTTTGCCAAGATTGTTGCGGGTGCTCATTTTCTACTTTCGCCATCCAGTGCTGGGCAGCGGCAGCTGGTGTGTTTGGCACGTGCCCTGCTGCGGAGATCAAAGATCTTGGTACTAGATGAAGCCACTTCACACATGGACGGTGACACAGACAGCCTGATCCAAGCGACGTTGCGGGACAGCTTCGCCAATTTCACGCTGCTCACCGTGGCACACCGGCTGCACACGGTGCTCGACTACGACAGGTGGGACAGAAAGGCCTTTCTTAAAATCTTCTTGTATAATATTTTGGATATTCTCATATTTCTAGATAATTCACTTTTGTCTTGAATAAAATCTAAATTGAGAAACGTCTACGCGGTACCGTATTGTCGAAGCACAAAAGACTGCAAAAACAGTTATGAAAGAGCGCGATGCGATGTTGTTTAGTTAATCGCAGAAGTCGCAACGACGTCGCAACGACGGCGCAACGGAAAATGTCCGTGCGGCAAAGCCTGGCATAGGTGCAACAGGTTCTCGCGCATTCAGAGCGCGGCGCTTTTCGTTCTCTTCCGAAGGCCCGTAAGCGTTCGCGCGTATGCTCCACTACAATACCCCCGTGGTGAAGAGTAACCATCCTGGCGACTTACGGAGTAGGCACAATGAGGAGTCGTAGTAGGGCTTGAGACGGTCGACGTGCACGTGTCGCGTCCTCGACGGCGCAAATCTGGCGATTGTGTTAGGGGCTCAATGATGTAAGTCACCGGCGAGGTCGCGTCAATGCCACAGTACGGACCATGGTACCGGGCCAGAGGTTTAGAAGAAAGACCAGGAACGTGCGGGGGCACCCAAAGCCATACAAGGGAGCCAGCACGAAACTTAGCAGCTATTTGATTAACGTTGTCAAGTCGAGTCTTTTGTAGACCTTGAGCCTCACTTGTGAGAGACCGAGCCAACTGACGGCTGCCTTCAGTGTACCTGGCGACTTCAGATAGCGGAGAGCTCTCAGATGCATCAGGGCGGTAAGGGAGTATAGTGTCCAGTAGGTGGGAAGGTTCGCGGCCGTACAACAGAAAGAACGGGGGAAAACCGGTAGTCGCTTGAATCGCGGTGTTATAAGCGAAGGTTATAAAGGGTGATACAACATCCCAGTTAGTGTAATCAGAGGAGGTGTACATCCGCAGCCTGTCGCCAAGCGTGCGGTTGAACCGCTCAGTGAGACCATTTGTCTTTGGATGGCATGCGGTAGATTTCCAGTGGATGATTTTGCATTCAGCGAGAATAGGTTGGATGGTCTCTGATAGGAACACTCGATCCGTATCACTGAGTAATTCTCGTGGAGCACCATGACGGAGAATGGAGCTGCGCAGAAAGAAGAGTGCAACTTTGTGGGCATTTTCTGCCGGTAGAGCTGCAGTCGCAGCGTAGCGTGTCAGATGATCGACGCCGACAATAATCCACCAGTTTCCAGAGCAACTATATGGGAGGGGGTCATGGAGGTGGATTTCCACGTGGCCGGATGGGCGAACTGGGCATGGGAGCAGCTGTAACATGCCAGTAAGGTGCCGCAAAGGTGTCTTGTTCTGTTGGCATGTGGTGCAAGACTGAACGTATTTCTGCACAAAGCGAGACAATCCTCGCCAGCAATATTGTTGGCGCAGCCTTTCGTAGGTTTTAAGGGCTCCTGCGTGAGCGCTTTGGGGATCTGCATTGAAATTCGTGCAGATGTCAGAGCCCATATGAGTACGGACAGCAAGGAGCCTCTCCCGACCACCAAGCATGTAGTCTTGGCGGCACAGAATGTTGTCTCGCATGGAAAAGTGGGCTGTTTGCCGGCGTAGCGCTCTCGTGGAAGGAACATCAGATGGATTGGTAAGGCAGTCAAGTAACAACGCTAGGTATGGGCCTTTACGCTGCTCCGAAAACATGCCAGTGGTTTCGAGTGGGGTCAAGGTGGTGAAAAGAGGTGAAAGAGAAGCCACATCTGGTGTTAATGACGATCGGGAAAGTGCAATGGCATCCGCATGCTTGCGACCGGATGATGTACGACACGGATGTCGTATTCCTGCAATCGAAGTGCTTATTGCCCCAGGCGTCCGGACGGATCTTTCAAGGTGGACAGCCAACATAGAGCGTGGTGGTCTGTGGCCACGTCGAAAGGACGGTCATAAAGGTACGGGCAAAACTTCGTTAACGCCCAGATTATGGCCAAACACTCCTTCTCTGTTACGGAGTAATTCAAATCAGCTTTTTTGAGAGTGCAACTTGCATAAGCGACTACGTATTTGGCTTGGTGCCTTCCCGTCATGCCAAAACTGCATCTTGACCGACGCCACTTTCATTGGTGTAAATTTCTGTGGCAGCAGTGGGCTCATAGTAACGAAGAATAGGTGGTGAAGCCAGCAGACAGCGCAGCTGGCGAAATGCGTCATCACAGGCAGGTGACTATGCATATTTACCTTTGCTGTTGGAAAGCAGACTCGTCAGAGATGCGATGATGGACGAGAAGTTTCGCACGAAGCGACAAAATAGGAGCAGAGACCAACGAAACTTTTTAGTGCTTTCAGGGATGTTGGCATTGGGAAGTCAGTGACAGCTCGATGTTTATCGAGATCCGGAAGAACACCGTCTCTAGTGATGACATGTTCCAAGATGGTTAACTTTCGTGCCGCAAAGTGGGACTTCTTGGTGTTAAGTTGTAGGTCTGCAGAAGTTATACACGTGAGAATCTCGTGGAGACGACCAAGATGTGTCGGTAAACCAGCTCAAAAGACTACGATGTCATCCGGTTAAAACAAGCAAATTTTTCATTTGTGGGCACGTAAGATTGTATCAATCATGCGCTAAAATGTCATAGGCGCGTTGCGGAGACCAAATGGCACGACTTTGAACTCATAAAGGCCATTCGGCGTTACAAAGGCTGTTAGGGCAATTACATTCAGCCATTGGCCCCTGCCAATACCAAGAACGCATATCCAAGGATCCAAGGTTCCTTGTAAACAGTCGAGAGCATCGTCTGTTTGTAGTAGCGGGTAGGCATCTTTCTTTGTAATCTTGTTTAAGCGCCGATAGCCCACGCAAAATTGAACGGTCCCCTCTTTTTCTTTACCAGAACCACAGGTGATCACCAAGCGCTTTGAGAAGGCTGTATGACCACAAGTTTAAGCATGTCACCTACTTGCTCCGTAATTGCGCGGCGCTCTTCGGCGGAAACCCTGTAAGGACGCTGTCACAGAGGCGAGTGTGAACCGGTGTCAATAGCATTAGTGAGTCTAGTGGGGTGGCACAAAGCAGGTACTTGAAAGTCGAAAGAACAGGGAAACTTGTTAAGGAGAGCAACGAATTGGCGGTGATGCGAGGGGGGAAGGTCTGAGTCATTAGCATTGTCGATGGCAGACGAACTTGATGGTTCAGACGCATGAGTGATTGCGGCAATATGACATGGGGTTTGGTCGTGAAGAATAATATCAACGACAGGTTGTACATACCCTAAGGTTTCACCATTGAGTAAGCTAATGGGGTAGTTGCAAGGGTAAGTAACCAGCATTACAGTGGAATCCTATGCAATTGTACGTACGGCGAATGGGAGAACGATGTCCTTGCGTTCAGTTAAAACCGGAGATGGCTCAAACACCACCGTGACGTCAGGTTGCGCCACTCAGAAAGGGTAATAGAGACTGAAGCTTCTGGAGGCAAGGTGATGTCGTCAGCGATGAGCTTGCAGAGCAGAGGAGAATGATCGGGCGATGGAAATTCACATGTTGGCGCAAGGGACACTTCCGCACGCAAACAATCGATTATGCCTTTATCACGTGGTAAGAAATCCCAACCAGGATAACGTCTTAAGAGCGAGATGGTAGAACAAAAAATAGAACGATGTACAAATGTCTTGGATGTCGATGCGCACAGTACACACAGCCGAGGGATGAATGCGTTGTGCGCTAGCCGTGAACAGTATCATGCCACAGAGAGATGTCGTCACTTTCTTCAATTTCCGACAAAATTTTGCGTTCATCACAGAAACAGCGGCCCCAGTATCAAATAACGCTAATGTGGCGACTCCCTCAACTTCGACACCAACAACATTTTGCGGCAAAAATGGAGGCCTTGAGAATTGCGCAGAAGTGGCAGTTCTTGCCTCTAGAACTGCACTGATTAGTTTTCCTCCTCAGGAGGTGGTCGATGACACATAGGAGATGACGATCGGCGACGAGGGGATGGGAAACGAGCAGTTGATGGGTGGTGATTCGAGTGGGATTGCCTGTGTTCATATGCAGACGTGTTGGCCGGCTGCGGCGCGCACGGAGGAGTTCCAAATGAAACGGGTTGTTGAACAAGCAGGAGTTGACTCGGCGAAGGGGAGCTTTATTTAGCGCAAGGGCTAACTGAACGCAAGCCTGCGATCACAGCAAGTCTTCTTCCTTTTCTATCCTCGAGCTCCATGCCCACTGTCCTCGTTACAATCACCCCCGGCCGATGAGGGAGCCATCCTGGCCACCTAAGGACAGGTTTACACAGAAGGGTCATGGTATGGCTTGAGCCGAGAGATGTGTACGATTTCTTTTCCGCGTCGGCGCTTGTCCGGAGATGCATCCAGCGGCTCGACAAGGTAGTTGACAGGGGATGTTTGGCGTACAACTCGATAAGGGCCATGGTACCTGGACGAAAGCTTGTGGGAGAGTCCTGGAGGAGTAGAAGGAATCCATAACCACACCAGTGAGTTCGGAGCAAAGCTCATATGCTTGGTTAACGCGTCGTGGCGATGTTTTTGGCGCGTCTGGTCATGTGACGTGAACGCACGAGCAAGCTTCCGACATTCTTCAACGTGAGCTGCTGCTTGAGAAACGGTAGTAATCTCTGAAGGGTCCGGTCGATAAGGAAGAATGGTATCCATTGTTGATGATGGCTCGCGTCCATAAAGAAGGAAGAAAGGCGAAAATCCAGTGGTGCTTTGCGTTGCAGTGTTGTAAGCATATGTCACAAAAGGGAGTATGCTATCCCAATTTGACTGGTCGGATGAAGCGTACTTGGCCAGCTAATCCCCAAGTGTACGATTAAAACGCTCTGTCATCCCATTAGTTTGCGGGTGATAGGCTGTGGTAGTGCGGTGTATGATGCGACACTCGTTTAACAACGCTTTGATGGCATCGGAGAGAAAAACGCGGCCGCGGTCGCTTAGTAACTCCCGAGGTGCTCCATGCCTTAAAACCAGGTTTTGCAGTATAAAACACGCAACGTCTTTTGCGGTAGCAGAAGGTAACGCAGC